GCGGCAGCAGCGTCCCCGGAGACCCCGCGGGCGACGGTGAGTGCTGGCGGGCAGCCGTGAACATCTCCACGACGTGTGCTTCCCCGCGCGCTGAGGTCGAGCAGGTTCGGGGTGGAAGCCGGGGAAGGAGCTTGCAGGAGAGGCTCCCTGGGGACCCTCCGGTCCGGACGTGGCCCCGGTTCCCGTGTTTACGAAGATCTCTCATGCATCCTGTCCTTGTGGAGGGAAGCACGGAGGCAGCAGACACCCAGCACTTGTAGAGAGCGGCCCCACACCTCTTGCCCGGAGACAAAAGGGAACCTACACAAGGGGAAACTCTCTAGAAATCTTGGCCTAGAAAAGAAAGCTTTTCTCACTCGTGGCAAACGGAGCCTCGGATCGCCGCCGCCTGGAGCGGTGGCGAGAGGGACCTGCCTTTCCGTGGTGTGACCTTGGGCGGCCCCTCCTCCACGGGAGCCTAAGTGTCAGAAGTGACGGTGCCACCTGCCTCAGGGGTGAGGGAGAAACAAGGAAGTCGGGGTGTGCAGTAGGCACCGCATGAATGTGCCTTCCTTCCCTTCCCTCCCCCCTCAGAGTCCTCCAGCTGCTGAGGACTCGTCGGGAAGGACAGGGGTGTGTACAGATGGTCATTGTCCCAAAGTTGCTCATTTGTCAAGGGAAGTCTAGTTGTCCCTTCCTCTCTCCCGGGAGCTGGACAGCATGGACTGTGCCTGAAGTTCCTCCTCCCTTGGGGACACAGGAGCCCCCTTTGCATGTCCCGGATTATCTTGAAACAGTGCTGACTTCTTGTTATATTGTTGTTGTTTTTTATTAGCAAAGACTGTTTTGTTCAGTAGGTAACAAATTGACTCTTTTTAACTCAGCAGGAAAAAGAATTCCTTAAACCCTCAGTCCGAGTATGTAACTTATACCCCATGTTGCTGGCTCAGCGCCTCCTCTGTTTGCCCCCCCACCCCCACCCCCAAGTCTCCCAAAGGCTGCCTCTGTGCTGTCAGTGAGTCGCTTGGCATTTCAAAGCTGGAAGAAACCTCAATGTCACCTAGTAAAAGGCCCATTTCATAGACAAGACCCTGAGGTCTAGAGAGGTTAACATGCTCCCTGCTCGCTTATCCTGAATGTTCCAGGCAGGCCCAAGGCCCCAGCAGGTGTCCTGCCTGGGGGCTTTTTCTTGTCTCTTTTTTAATTGTCATAGTCTGGTGGAATAGCCTAGGGCCCTGGTCAGCAAACTGCGGCTCACGAGCCACATGCGGCTCTTTGGCCCCTTGAGTGTGGCTCTTCCTAAGCCTTAGGAATACCCTAATTAAGTTAATAATGTACCTACCTATATAGTTTAAGTTTAAAAAATTTGGCTCTCAAAAGATCAATCATTGTACTGTTGATATTTGGCTCTGTTGACTAATGAGTTTGCTGACCACTGGCCTAGGGGTTGAGTGCATGGAAGGCGTTGTGGTTGGAGTCCCACAGCTTCTTCCTGTGTGACGCTGTCTAGCGACTTCCCCTGCTGCTAACGGGTTTCCTCCTCCACAAACTGAGGATAACAATAGTGCCGGCCTCCTGGGGTTGTTGTAGGGATTAAATCAGGAAAGCACTTGAACTGGTACCTGTGTCTAGAACAGTGATGGTGAGCCTTTTGAGCTCGGCGTGCCAGCATTTTGAAAAACCCTAACTTAACTCTGGTGCCGTGTCACATATAGAAATTTTTTGATATTTGCAACCATAGTAAAACAAAGACTTATATTTTTGATATTTATTTTATATATTTAAATGCCATTTAACAAAGAGAAATCAACCAAAAAAATGAGTTCGCGTGTCACCTCTGACACGCGTGTCATAGGTTCGCCATCACTGGTCTAGAACATGCTTTGTATATGGCAGTCTTCGCTGCCCCACTCGATTCGTCATGGCATTTTACAAGTATGACATGCAAAGACTCGGTCGCATTCAGCAGCACTTCATAGTTAAGGGCTCAGGTTTGGTTCCCAGCCATTGAGCAGCTTTGTGGCCTTTAACTCAGTATCCTCATCTGTGAAATGGGAGATGTGCCATCAGCCCGGCCAAGTAGTTGTGGGGGTTAAACGAGGCAGCGCATGGAAATAAATCCCGTCGCCTGGTTCCAGGGTCATCGTCTGGGCTCTGAAATGATAACTCTTGTCACTATAACCTTAGTCTAGCCAACAGGCTTATCTATGTGAGATCAAGCTTCAAAAGGTAGGTATTTGTAGGAGGTGGTTTCGCTAAAAGACATGGTGTCTGGATTTTAGATGCCAGAGGAACACTCGTAAATGTGTCCTAACAACCTGACGTTTTTCGGCTCACAGCACGAGTTCTCTGCAGCACACTGCTTTCTCTCCCTGCCCTCTGTGTGACTGTTGTCCTTGCTGTGGTCGAGCAGAGCCTGCAATGAATGAATGACCTGGAGTCATTACTGCCCCTGTGTGCTCAGGAACCCTGTTCTTGTTGTAGGACTGTGACCGCTCTTACGATGGAGGGAAGCCGGCTGACGAAAGTGTCTCGACCCTACAAGATCAGCGAGTCTTCAAAGGTCTGTGCATGGTCGCTCACCACCTGTGCAAACTGCCTAGGAAGTGTGATATTTTTCTGATGAGCCCTTTCTTCATGTAGAGACTGGTTTTCTAGTGGTAGTGGTGTTCATTTCCTTAGAGGTAGCACAGGCCAGAGTGGAAGAATCATAAAATCAGAGGGCTGGGAGGGGAGGGATGGGAGAGACACAACTCAACTTATTTATTCTGCACCTCAACCCTGACGTGGGTGGGACAGGATGAAAGCCATTCCCCGCTTGGGGGCTCAGAAACTCCAAGGACAAGTCCATTGAGAAGCCAGCACCGACTTTGTAGTGGGGGGCAGCACATTGCATACCTGGATGTTAAGGGCCCAGGGTCTTCCCCCGACATGACTTTCTGGGGCCGTCGGAGTGAGTAAGGGTGGCTCCCCAGGGCTGGGCTACCAACCTATGTCACACTGGGTATATCAAAATCACCCTGGGAGAAGGTGAGGGTGTCTCATTAGAAATGCATGTCTGGCCCCACCTCATACCTGCTCAGTTAAACTCTGAGAGCTGGACCTGGGAATCTGTGCCTTCATCAAACTCCTCCAGGGCCTGGGAGCAGCCCTCTCCCCACAGCTGCATAAGTAAGGATTGGGGGGGGCCTGGTTTTCAGGACAGTCCCCACTTCCACCTGCCTCTTTATACATGTCAGTACCACCCTCTTTTCTTTAAAAGTGGCCCTTTTTGGAGATTAAAGTTTATGTTTACCTTAGCTCATTTTCAGTGAGGCCAATATTTTCCCCAAGGTGGGGTGGAATTGATTTTGGGGGTCTGGAAAGACTTTTACTCTTTATGATTAAAGCACAGCTGTGCATATAGTACATGCATGGACAAACAGAATGTATGTGGTGGTCACAATTCCATGGGGGATATTAGGAAAAAAAAACCCTTAAAAGAAGATTGAAAAAGAAAGATTGAGAAAGACCACATTAGATAAAGGGAGTTGTGGAGAGACCGTGGATTTGAGGAAAAATGAGAGAAAGAGGTTCTGCAGATGTGCGTAAAAGAAAGCTGGGTTGTAATTTTCAGGGGAGCTCAGTCTCCTGAGAAGTGGTTTCCTATTTCCTTTTGCGTGTCCTGGGAAGGCTTGCCAAGCCTGGCTTCATCTGCTGTGAAAACCCAGGAAGGTCTCCCTGCTGTCTCAAAGGGGCTTTGTTTCCGAGCTTGGCTGCGGAGACGGTGTCACTTTCTAAGTGTGATAGCGCTGGGAATCTTGGTCCCTGAAAGCCAGGCTCTGAGTTGGTTTCTTTCTGAATCAGAGCTTTTAGGAGTAGGGTTGTCTACCGCTTGGTTGATTGCATTTATATTCCTAGCTATAAGCGTACCTTGATTTTCTAGACATTAACACACCCATGTAGCCTGTACCCAGATTTTAAAAAAAGAAATTACCAAACCTCTCCAGTCCCTACATTGCCACTGTCCGGACTTCCAATCCTGCAGGTTTGCCTGCCCTTGAACTTTATGTAAATGAACCAGAGGGTAGGTGCTCTTGTTGTGCCTGGCTCCTTGCACTCAGCGTTCTGCATCTGAGAGTCTGGCCCAGCTGGTGTGTGTAGGGGTAGATTGTTCCTTCCCAGCGCAGTGGAGTCTCCTATCAGGCGACCACCGCTGTTCATTTAACTATTCCAAAATGTGTTGATCCATTTTGATGCTGCATTCTTCTATTATGAAATACCCCATACCTGCTGCGTCTGTCCAATGTTAGCTCCTGAGTCCCTGTGTTTCTCCACCCACCTTGCCTCGCCTCTGATAAAAGCACTGACATAGAAAACAAAGGAATAACCGGGATTAATACCATCAAGGAATGTTGGAGGCCGGGACTTCGAAAGGATACAAAATGCTGCCAGTCTGTTACTGATGCCCCTTTAAAACCGGGAAATTGTGTTGTCTGCTTTTTGAAAGTTCTATCTGCAGCAACACCAAAATAACCAGGTACAGAATTAAATGCGCCTACTTAGCATGGAGACCCGGTTTTAGAAGCAGCGCTACCCTTTTCCCTGCCCTGGCTCCCTGCAGCAGATGGTGCCCCGCGGCAGCTGTTATCCGGGCTTTCCCCGATATCCGCCCCTGGGAGCTGTTTCCCTTTTTACTCAGCAGCGTGGGGTCATGTGTACCCCAATTTAAGTGTGGAGTCCCAACAGCCTCCTCAGCTTAGAGATGACCAGGGGCCCAGGGTGGGCAAACAGCCCACCTGATGTCCCTCACTTACTTCTCTCGGGAGCCTTTACTACTACAGGGGAGCCTGCTGCTGCGATGCTTTATAATTTCCTTCCTTCAGTCCACACCTGAGAGGGGCCCCAAGCCAGTGTGTGCTGGAGCCCAGACCATTCCTGCTTAATTAGAAGCCAAAACCAGGCCAGCCTGGCTCTCTCTGCTACTAAGCAGAATACGCGGAGCTATCCACGTATGGGACCCAGGAGAAACCGTCCTGTGACGTGAGAGCAGCAAGCCGGGCTCTCTAAACCTGAACGGGAAAGAAGCTTTAGTCTGGTGTCCTCATCTGAATGCGAGGCCGTTGTCCGTGCCTGTGATGTAGGTGGAGCATTTGATGTTGGAATTAGCCAGACAAGGCAGAGAGGCAGGACCAGGGGAAATAAAGGACCTCAATTACAGATGTGTTAGAGGCAGTCAGGAGCAGATTGCGGGGGCTGTGGGGAGGGGAGGGGAGGCAGAAATGAAAGCCACTGCTGTAGGATACATGTTGACAAGAACCTGTAAGAATTCGGGGACCTGGAAGCCAGTCACACAGCTGCTCACATCTAAGCCCTCAGTCCATCTTCCTTTTCTCAGTTTCCCCTTTTCAGGCTTAGTGCCCAGCCAGCCCCTTTCCTCAATCGCCCTCAAACCGACTCACTCCCTAGCTGATATTTCTGAAGGCCTGCTTTTCCCATATTGAATGTTCTTGTTGTTTTTATGGTGAGGAAATAAGCAGGTGTGCAGTATCCTGAAAGCCCAAAGCATAATTAGTTCTCCAAGGATTTGGAAACTGTTGTCTAGGTCTGACATATTTTTGTATCCTCGAAAGCACATGGCAGGCATCTAGCATGGAATACATATCTGCCAATCTGAATCTGTGGGATGGATTCCTATTCATTATTCACATTAATTGATCTGTTCATTGTAGTGTAGCATGGCGATCACAGGTCTGGGCTCTGGAATCAGACCTACATTCAAATCTCAGCTCCGCCGCAATCACGGTGGGGCTTTGGGCCAGTTTCTTAGTCTCTCTGACCTTAGTTTTTCTCATCTGGAAAATGGGGATTATAATAGACGTTCTCTTGGAGGGTTTTCGTGATGAGAGTGCATGTCCGGTGCACGGCACAGTGCAGGGTACACGTAAGCCCCCAGAAAAAGACAGCGTCTCTGCATTTCACATACAGTGTATCTCTTTCAACCCTGGCCGTGGCTGGTGAAGCCATGTTTCTGGAAGGAGGGTCTCCAGAGCACTTAGTTTGCATCACTAGAAATGGGGGTCTCTTTAGCATAACCACACGCCTTTCCAAGACACAGAGAAAGCTGCCTTCCCCGGCACAGCGCCTCAGTGGGGGTCACAGAGCCTCAGTGGGGGTCACAGAGAGTGCAGGGTACACGTAAGCCCCCAGAAAAAGACAGCGTCTCTGCATTTCACATACAGTGTATCTCTTTCAACCCTGGCCGTGGCTGGTGAAGCCATGTTTCTGGAAGGAGGGTCTCCAGAGCACTTAGTTTGCATCACTAGAAATGGGGGTCTCTTTAGCATAACCACACGCCTTTCCAAGACACAGAGAAAGCTGCCTTCCCCGGCACAGCGCCTCAGTGGGGGTCACAGAGCCTCAGTGGGGGTTGCTCATCACAGCAGCTTCCCTCGGCAGGCTTTCTGCCATGACACCCCCGCCCCTCAGCCACCTGAGTGGTGAGTATCCTCATCCTCACCTGTGAGATGAGGAAATGGAGGCTCAGAGCCTCCTCATGGCTCAACCACGATCATAGCCAGTAAGTGGCAGAGCTGAGTGCAAACCGTGATTCTGTCTGGCCTTAGAGGCTGCGTCCGAAGCCACTTCTCTCTCCTGACAGGACAGCATTTTTCAAATCTATGTGCCCCTGACCCACAGGAAGGAAGGGAGGGAAGGAAAAAAGAAACCTTTTAGGAATTTTACTTATAAAGAAGGAAAAGAGAGGTAAGAGGAAGAGAGGAAAGAAGGAAGGAAGATTGATTTTAGGAATTTTATTTACAAAGAAAAAGAAGAAGGAAGATATATCCAATACACATAAACCTTGTTTCCTGCAATGCACTGTATTTTGTTTCCCAGTCTTCTTCAGTCCACTGTATTTATTTGTTCATCCTCACCTGAGGATATGTTTTCCCATTGATTTTTAGAGAGAGTAGAAGCGGGGGGGGGGGAAGACAGATTGATTTTAGGAATTTTATTTACAAAGAAAAAGAAGAAGGAAGATATATCCAATACACATAAACCTTGTTTCCTGCAATGCACTGTATTTTGTTTCCCAGTCTCCTTCAGTCCACTGTATTTATTTGTTCATCCTCACCTGAGGATATGTTTTCCCATTGATTTTTAGAGAGAGTAGAAGGGAGGGGGGGGAAAGACAGAGAGAGAGAAAGAGAGAGAGAAGCATCGATTGGTTGCCTCCCACACATGCTGACTTGGACTGGGGATGGAGCCTGCAACCCAGGTAAATGCCCTTGACCTGAATCGAACCTGTGACCCTTCAGTCTGTGGGTCGGCGCTCTAACCACTGAGCAACCGGCTAGAGCCATTCCCCTGTATTTAACATGCTGGTTGTGTCCCACTAGATTGACTCCTGCAGCAGTGAGGGGGCAGGTTGGCACGCTTCCCCTCTCTGGGCCCGGGTGCGAGCCCCTGACACTGCTCTCCCACAGGTGTACCGCTGGGCGGAGCACTCGACCACAGTGCTACAGCGGCTGAATGAGCAGCGTCTGCGTGGCCTCTTCTGTGACATCGTCCTAGTGGCTGACGAGCAGCACGTGCCAGCCCACCGCAACCTGCTGGCCGTGTGCAGCGACTACTTCAACTCCATGTTCACCCTGGGCATGCGTGAGGCCTTCCAGAAGGAGGTGGAGCTGGTTGGTGCCTCCTACATCGGCCTCAAGGCCGTGGTGGACTTCTTGTACGGTGGGGAGCTGGCCCTGGATGGTGGCAACATCGACTACATCCTGGAGACGGCCCACCTGTTGCAGATCTGGACTGTGGTGGATTTCTGCTGCGAGTACCTGGAGCAGGAGGTGAGCGAGGACAACTACCTGTACCTGCAGGAGCTGGCCTCCATCTACAGCCTCAAGCGGCTGGATGCCTTCATCGACGGCTTCATCCTGAGCCACTTCGGCACACTGTCCTTCACCCCTGACTTCCTGCAGAACATCTCCATGCAGAAGCTCTGCGTGTACCTGAGCAGCAGCGAGGTGCAGCGGGAATGCGAGCACGACCTGCTGCAGGCCGCCCTGCAGTGGCTGACGCAGCAGCCGGAGCGGGAGGCCCACGCCTACCAGGTGCTGGAGCACATCCACTTCCCGCTCATCCCCAAGAACGACCTGCTGCACCGCGTCAAGCCGGCCGTGTGCTCGCTGCTGCCCAGGGAGGCCAACTGCGAGGGCTTCATCGAGGAGGCTGTGCGCTACCACAACAGCCTGGCGGCCCAGCCGGTCATGCAGACCAAGCGCACGGCGCTCCGCACCAACGAGGAGCGCCTGCTGTTCGTGGGTGGCGAGGTCTCCGAGCGGTGTCTGGAGCTCAGTGATGACACCTGCTACCTGGACGCCAAGAGCGAGCAGTGGGTCAAGGAGACACCCCTGCCGGCCCGACGGAGCCATCACTGTGTTGCTGTGCTGGGGGGGTTCATCTTCATCGCCGGCGGCAGCTTCTCGAGGGACAATGGAGGGGACGCAGCGTCCAATCTTCTTTATAGGTATGACCCCCGCTGTAAACAGTGGATCAAGGTGAGATTAAAGCCAGATTCTTTCTTTACTCTTGAGGACTTTTGATCTCTCTAACCTAACCTTGACTGCTCCTCCCTTCTTTCTGGCCTTGACCCCTTCCTGCTTCTGAAGAAGGTGTGATGATAAAGTGACGAGCCACCTAATTCCCACCCTCCCCTGTGCCTGCACCTGGTTGGGGGAGTGAGGGCCGACCTGCAGGGTCAGTCTAGAACTTTCTGCACCTAGAAAGGTTCTAGGTCTGTGCTTTCCTAATGTCGTAGCCACCAGCTCTGTGTGGCCGCTGAGCTCTTGAAATGTAGCCAGTGGGACTGAAGGACTGAATTTTGTATTTGATTTCACTTTAATTTACATTTGTGTGTAAATGGCCACACGAGGTTAGTGGCTACCCCATTGGATGTCGCCGGGCTAGAGATCTGACCCATAGTTCAAACATTCTTCCCGTGGCTCAGAGTCTCGGCCACGCTCCTCTTTGGAAAGGTGTGGAGCTGGTCCGAGGAGGCCGTGAAGGCTCACATCTCCGGCAGGTATGGTGGCTAATTCTGGGAAGAGCGTGGGTCTTGGCGTCAGACCTGAGTTCACATCCCAATCTGGCTAAGTCGTAGCTGGGAATGTCAGACTGGTCCTTTGCCTTCTCCAAATTTCAGCTCCTTCCTCTGGAAATGGGTGGGAGGAGGGCATCGACCTTCCAGGTTCAGGGCTTGTATGTAGCTCATGTTGATTGGCCGGTGCCTGGCAGAGGTGAAAAAGTGTTCCTTTCCCCCCCACAAACACCTCCCTAGACCACATCTATGAAAGTCGGTCTCAGTCTTTATCCTCATACCTCAGTGGCTTTACTTAACGTGGTGTTGTTCTGAGCTCAAAACTCAGAATGGACTCTGCTGATCTTTCGATTTTATTCTCGAAAATCTAAAACCACCCACCAAGGTGTAAGTGCTGACACTAGAAAGAGGCTCCTGGCTTTGGAGCCCGTCCTCAAAGCTTGGTGGCGGTGGCAGCCTGAACGTATGGTCTCCTGCAGGACTGGGTTGCCTTGTGTGTTCTGCTTGGATTATTTAAAAAAAAAAAAAAAAAAGTTGGGTCTTTCGCTTTTTAATTTCCTGTTGAGTTCCACTTTCTGTCTGTTAACACAATGGCAATCAGCATTCATTAAAGAACTATCTGAGGGGTTGGCAAGAGGAAAGATGAATTTTTACTTTAAGAAATCCCTAAATCAGCAATTATGAACTGTTTGTCCTCAGAATTCAAGTACATGAGGCTGGCCATGTGGCCAAACAAGTTTGGGGAGCTGTGCTCTCCAAACCCCTTTTGAGAATTCGCAGTGTCTCAAGGGTCCTTGGGGACTGAGCAGTCCCTCCTAAAGGCCCCTTCTTTCTTTAAGTTTAACTCCCCTCCGCCACACTCACTTGGCCACTGCCTCACTCTCTGGGCCGTGTTCCGTAGAACACCTTTGGGAAGTGATGCTAGATGTTGACGCTGCCCAGGGTTTGGGGAAGGGAAGGTACAGGTGTCTTGCCTCCGCAGGTGGCCTCCATGAACCAGCGCCGTGTGGACTTCTACCTTGCCTCCATTGAAGACATGCTGGTGGCCGTCGGTGGCCGGAATGAGAATGGAGCTCTCTCTTCAGTAGAGACTTACAGTCCCAAGACCGACTCCTGGTCCTACGTGGCCGGCTTGCCAAGGTAGTTGACGGTTTTGTGCGAACTCTTCCAATGTGACGACTTTTGGATTACAGTTCAGTTCACCTCACTGTCTGGATTTTCAGGCTTCGAATTCCAGGAAGAATCTCCTGGCTTGTAAATAACAGTGGGTAGACCCTGAGAGGCAGAGGGCGTGGTGGTGACGAGTCAGGGCTCCTGTTTAGGCTGACCGCGTACAAGTGTCAGCTCTGCCGTTAGACAAAGATCCCTCAGTTCCTGAGTCTGTTCACTTGCTGAGTTTCAGGGGATAGGTACCCACCATTCCAGACCCATACAGAGTAGTTTCCCTGCCCTGAGGCCCCTGGTGCTCCACTGCTTCATCCCTGTGCCCTACCTCCGAACTGCTGGCCACCACTGACATTTCCTGTCTCCCTAGCCTCGACTTCTCAGAACCTTATGGTTGGAGTTGTACTTCACTTCATTTTCCATTTGTTATATAACTTGATCAGGTACCTGTGTGTGCCTCAGTAGCATGCTGTTGCTGTTTCCAGCCCTTATGACAGTGGTTCTCAACCTTCTGGCCCTTTAAATACAGTTCCTCATGTTGTGACCCAACCATAAAATTATTTTCGTTGCTACTTCATAACTGTAATGTTGCTACTGTTATGAATCATAATGTAAATATCTGATATGCAGGATGGTCTTAGGCGACCCCTGTGAAAGGGTCGTTTGACCGCCAAAGGGGTCGCGACCCACAGGTTGAGAACCGCTGCCTTATGAGAAGGAAAGCAGTCTTGTGATTATGCCCATCTCTCAGGTGGGGAAATGGAGAGGGGGCAGAGCTGGGAATTCTTGCCCAGGCAGTCTGGCTGCACAGCTGTCTGTTTACTTCCTGTGCGGTGACAGCTGCCATCTATAAAGAGTTCACGGGGTGCCCGCTCCCTGCGTTAGCCCCTCAAACCCTCACAGGCCCCTCACAAGACGACAGGTTGTCCCCCTTTTGAGAGGAAAAGACTGCGGCCTCAGCTCCCGGAGGCCCCGCCCAGGACAGCACTGAGCTCCCTCTCTGTCTCTGTCCATCCCTCCACAGGTTCACCTATGGCCACGCAGGCACCATCTACAAAGACTTTGTGTACATTTCGGGGGGCCACGACTACCAGATCGGCCCCTACCGCAAGAACCTGCTGTGCTACGACCACCGGACGGACGTGTGGGAGGAGCGCCGGCCCATGACCACCGCGCGGGGCTGGCACAGCATGTGCAGCCTGGAGGACCGCATCTACTCCATCGGGGGCAGTGACGACAGCGTGGAGTCCATGGAGCGCTTCGACGTGCTGGGCGTGGAGGCCTACAGCCCGCAGTGCAACCAGTGGACCCGCGTGGCCCCGCTGCTGCACGCCAACAGCGAGTCGGGCGTGGCTGTGTGGGAGGGCCGCATTTACATCCTGGGCGGCTACAGCTGGGAGAACACGGCCTTCTCCAAGACGGTCCAGGTGTATGACCACGAGAAGGACAAGTGGAGCAAAGGCACCGACCTGCCCAAGGCCATCGCCGGCGTGTCCGCCTGCGTCTGCGCCCTGAAGCCACGGCTGGAGGACAAGAAGAAGAAGGGCAAGGCCAAGAGGCACCAGGACCGGGGCCAGTGACCCCACCGTGCCTGCTGGGACCTGGTCCCCACCGCCACCTCCCAGAGTGTCCGTAGGCCAGCAACGACTTCCTAGAACCCTGGAACCATTATGTATCACTTAGCAGCTTTTTTTTACTTTTATGATTCTTAGTATTTCTATACTATCACCGTAATCGATTAAATATTCTACGTAACTTTACATAGTATCTTGCTTGAGTAATTAAACCTCGGCCCAGACAGGAAGTATCCCCTTATGTCTATACAGGGCTTCTCTCCACATTACAAATTTTGGGGGATACTTCAAGCACCCCCCCGAGAGTAGCGAGGGCAGGGGTTACGTAGAAATGTTTGTAGTGAAACTAGAGGCTTCTGTGGAACATTTCAGATCCTCCAGCCCTGAGCCTTCCCAAACCTGGCTGAGCTTTTAAAAATGCAGATTCCTGGCCCCCCGCCTCAGTCTGACTGAATCTAAAGCTACCAGGAGTGGTGAAGGGAGTGGCTGGAAACTATTTAACCAGTTCCTGGAATGACTGAGCATCAGCCACGGACAGGGTCAAGTGCATTTGTTTTTATAAGTGGGGACACAGGGACCTGGAGAGGGTGAGAGAGTGACCAGGGCTCACCAGGTCACCTAGGGAAACCTGGGCTTCTCACCGGGGAGGTATCCCCCTGAGGATTTTCTTATCAAGTGACTGTTGTTTCTGAATACTCAGTTTTCCTGGTTAGTAATCTTCCTGAATTCCAAAAGGGTTTAAGTAATCAGGGAAGAAGGGAAAACAAGGCCTGAAGCTCTTTATAAACATTATTCTACAATTTGTGCTTTTTTTTTTTTAACTTTCTCTTTTTCCTGGCACCCTCTGTTTCTGACGTACTGAGCCCCCAAATCTACATTTATTTCTCAGGAAAGAAAAAGGCAGCACCCTAGGATTTAGCATTGTTCTCTGACTCCAGCTCCTAGAAGCATTTCTTGAAAGCTTTTACACGAGCGAGCGCACGTTAACCCCCAAGAAGGTTGAGTGTCTCGCCAACTCAAGCGACAGGCCCTGGTCCCAGCCATCAGCTGCTAAGTAGTTTTGTGCTGCTGGGCAAATTCTTTAGTTAAGTCGTGAGCTATTTCCTCATTCATTAAGCAACAGGGTCAGATGAAATAACGGCTAGGCTTCTCCCAGCGGTTAAGCTCTTTCAGTCTGTATAAGCTATTAAAATACTCAGCACCTCCTTTTGAGATATGTGACCACCCTGCACTGATTGCTGCAGTTACTAGAGCATCAAGAGTATGTGCCCTTTAAGAGCTTGAGACTACTGTCCCAAGACACGATGTAACACAAAGTATGATGGGAGGAAAGGAATGTGACCAGTTTTAATCATGGGCCAAAGGAGGCATTCATGATCTATATACCTTGGCAGAGATGAGAAAATTTCAAGATGCATTGTTAGCATTGACATTAGAAGAAGAATCTCAATTAGCTTTATTTTATTTTTGTCTCTTTACTCCCTTTCCTTTCTTTCAAGGTTTTCCATGATTTTTATAGCAGCCAGGAGAGCTGAGAGTGGGCGTTTAAAGCTTCATTACCCAAATCATTGCCCTCTATTGCTAGCTGGGAAAGCAGTCTGCATAGTTAGCTAGTTTCTTATATTTGGGAGTCCCTAGAGGCTTACACATTGTTGAGAAGTTCTGCAAGGCATACAAACCAACCAAAAAACCGCACTCTTATTGTTGCTTGACAACCCTTCTGGGTATTAAAGGCTCTGAGAAGTCCTGCATTAACTATTAACCTTCCATCAACCAGCATCTCCAAACTTTGTTGAGCCTGAAACCCTTTTTGTCTCATACCTAGTCTCAGCCCTCCACGAAACATATTTGGCAGAACTTCTACAAACTTTGGGATAGCTGAGCCCCTCCCTTTTCTAGGAAAGGGTTCATTGCTTGAAGACCCTTTAGGTCACAGTGGTTCTCAACCTTCTGGCCCTTTAAATACAGTTCCTCATGTTGTGACCCAACCATAAAATTATTTTCGTTGCTACTTCATAACTGTAATGTTGCTCTGTTATGAAGTGTGTCTCCTTGTGTGTGTGTGTGTGTGTGTGTGTGTGTGTGTGTGTGTGTGAGGTACAGCAGCTTCCTGTTCTTAGAGGTGGTACTTCATAACCCTTCTGTCCCAGGCAGATCCCTTGCAGTGGTTCTCAATTTTCTGGCCCTTTAAATACAGTTCCTCATGTTGTGACCCAACCATAAAATTATTTTCGTTGCTACTTCATAACTGTAATGTTGCTACTGTTATGAATCGTAATGCAAATATCTGATATGCAGGATGGTCTTAGGCGACCCCTGTGAAAGGGTCATTCGACCGTCAAAGGGGTCGCGACCCACAGGTTGAGAACCGCTGCCTAGGAGGCACAGAATCTACGGTTTGTTCTCCCTGGCTCAGCCCAAGTAAAGAGGTGGTCAACCAGAACCAAAGGGCAGGAGGGGAAGAGCTCATAGAAAGACTATTTGTGCCTTGGGAGACAGATGACTTTGACCTTGGGAGAGGGGAGCCGTCAGTTTGTAGCCTAAGCCAGCTGTTTTATTCTTGACCGCCAGGACGTGTCCCAGGACGCAGGCCTCTGGCCTCTGTTCTGACTAGTGCCTTGGTCTTACAATGTCCTGCCCCTAATATTTTGTGATGTCTCTCCTTCCACTGTGAAGGTACTTCGTCATCCACACGGCTTAGAAGCTAATATGGAGGTCGAGGGGACATTTCTTTAAAGGTAGACGTGATAAGTAAGTGTCCTCTTGTGAGCCAACTTCAAATAATTGGTGGTGGCTCCACGTACACTAAGAAAGGTTTTCAAGTTCCTTGGGGTCAATGGCGGGGCCAGCATGGTTTTCGCTGTCCATGATTCAAGATGGGAATCCCCGCTGTGCCGTCCAACTAAGAATGGAAGGAAATGGCTTTAACTCCGTTTGGCAGGTGGCCTTTTGAACTGCAAAATCTTGAAGGCATCGTTTCCAACCAAAGTGACAAAGACAGGTTCTTGCAGGCTGCCATCTTGAGACGAAAACAGCAACATTTGCCACCGTGTCATCAAATTGTCAGTGCTTCGAGCGGAACTGTGAGAGTATCTGGATCATTTGTTTTGATCTTTCAAAATAAGCATGGTGGGTTTTTATTCAGATGTTTTTTCCCCTCATTTTTAAAGAACTAGAGTTTTAACTTTATATTAGTTGTAGGTTTTGATTTTGACCCTCATCCCAGTTGGAACCTTGTTTGCTTAAGACATCAGTGGAATCATGGGAGGGGAGAGAAAAGCTGGAGAAACCCTTGTTCCTTAGAGTGGTCTTTCTGCTGTCCAACATACTAGTATACAGAGACTGTCTCAGCAACGTGCCTGTATGGATGGCTCCATCAGTATTTTTAACATTCTGCTACATTAGCTAGACTAACAGGTAGGACTTCCAGATTTTGATCTGAGCAGAAAACCCATGTGTGTATTATATTCTGAACGTTCCTCCCCTTGCCCCTGACTGATAGGTGACCTGACCTCATGATGACTTAATAGAAACCCCAGAAGCCAACCCTCAGAGGTGTTCAGTTTTGGGTGGAAACCCAAATGCCAGGAGGGGGTGGAGTCCCTCCCCTGAGGTCCAGGGTCTCCCTCTGTGAGTTCAGGTGAGTTTACCTGTGGTTTGAAGTCCCTGGCTCCAAGTCTGGGAGTGAATGGCCTTTTGGTGGTTTGAGCAATGTGGGTTGGGAGAGGACCCCCACACACACTCACACATCCACCCCCTAATAGAGTTACCAGCCTATCTCTACCCTGGTCCCCCATGGCATGTGGCTTGGCCAGCCCCAGCCCAAGCAGTACCTCACAAGGCCTTTAAACTCTTGGAGTTTTTGGCTAGAATCTCAGACCGCTGGTCCCTAACCTGGAGAGGCAGTTCCAGCCATGGCCTGGCCATCTTCGCAGTCTCTGAAGATTCTGAATGTCTTCAGAGGGGAGTGGCGGTGTCCTGGCCTCCAGGACAAACTTCTGGAGCCTAGGGCAGCTCCACAGGTACGTGGAGATCCTGCAGAGTGCGTCTGCCGAGCCTGGCGGTTTTTAAAGTTTTTTGAAATGTTTTGATACTTTTTGATACCATTTGCTAATAACCGTTTTGTAGGTTGCCTGCCGGGGTTTTCCACCTCACCCCCTGATCCCCACCCCCTTGAGCTTGCACTAGACAGCAGATGTCCTGCAGTCAGTGCCAGGAGAGTGCCCGCCTCATGCGGCTTTGTCTTGGCTCTTGCTCTCCTCCGTGGCTGTGGTCTGATACAACTCTTGAATATTGTAAGGTCACACATGGCCAATGAATAGGATCATGACTGTCCTAGGCCCCCAACTGAGCAAGAGGGCACTGTTACCCCCAAGAGGACACCCACTCCCTTAAGACGTCCCGTACTCCTTCGAAGCTCCTACCTCAGCAGTGTGCACAGAGTTGAAAAGATACCTGAGGACAGATCCATAGATCACCTTTCTCATACGGGTTATTTCTCAACCCAGGGCATGGCTGGGGTCCTGATCCACTCTCATCCACCCATTCTTTTAAAGAAATCTTAGCATGAAATCCACGGAATCTGTAACAGTGAACCGTCTTGCACTTTATAGAATTATTGCCCTCGGCATTGGAGGTTGTTCATTTCTTTGTGGGGTTTTTTCTTTTCTTTTTTTTTTTTTTAAAACATGGGTAGAATTTGTGGCTTCTGATGATGTTTTGGGGATCTCAAGAAATTGTCTTTTGGTTGCCTTAGTTAAAAGAGTTGAGTGAATGTACAAA